ATGCTGCCCACCAACCCAGAGGGCCTTTTCCACTGAGCTGCTCCCCAAACAGCCGGTCCCCTACGTGTACTGGAACCAGGGGTTCTTCCTTTCCAGGAGGAGAACTTTGCATTTGTACATCTTGAATTTCTAAACGTTCCTGTTTTCCCCCAGTCACAATCTTCTCCTTCGTATGCCTAGAACTGTGTTCCAAGAGGAACTCCATGATTTTCTCAGAGACTGAAGTTGATCAACCCATACTTCTGCAGACCGTCCTTTTGGACGATCGTCTTTTTATTGGCCTATTTTACTTTATTTCAGATGCATAAAATGATTGCCTTTCTCCAGTTACTGGGGACCTCCAATGAGGTCTTTAGTCACTGGAGTACCCCACTCTCCATGACATATCAAAGGTGATAGAGAGTAGCCTTGCAAAGATATCAAACAGCTCTCTCAATATTCTTGGATGCAGCCCACCCAGTTCCATGGAGAGCCAAGATCTCTCAAGTAATCCCTGACTCAATCCTCACCCACTCCTGGTAGTTTTTTTCCCCTGAACTCTGCCTCTAAGCAGAGTCCTGGGAGAAGTTACTGATGAAGACATGAGCTGAAGAAGCTACTGAGTGCCTCAGCATTCAAATGCTTCACTATATCAACCACCCTGTTCAACAACTGGTCCACATTCTCTTTATTCAATTTTTACGATGGAAGTAACAGTAGAAACTCTTCTGTTTGTCTTTGATGACACTTGCATTAATTCTCGGTGTACTTTGGCTTTCCTAACATCATCCCTACGTGCCCAGGCAAGGTTTCTAAATTCCTCTTTTGCAACCTATCCTTGCTTGCTTCCTTGATCCTGATGACCTTTTTTTTTTTTTTTTTTTCCTTTGGCACTGGAGCTAAGTCATGAATTCTCTGTATTGCCAAGGCAGTCTCCTGATACATCTACTTGTTTCCATACATATTAGGTTCCACCATTCTTGTGCTTTCCCTCCAGTGTTCCTGAGCTCCTTTATGCCTCAGAGTTGTGGCTCAGAAGATCCCACCTAGCAGTTCCCTGAATAAGTCTGCTCTCCTAAAGCCCAGCATCCATCCATGCTACACTCCTTCCTTAGTGCCCTACCACTCCTAGACACTGTTCCTCATTTAACTGTGGGTCATGATCTGCCTTCCCTGTTCTTCCTACTTTAAAGTTATCCACACCAGGTTGGCCAGTCAATCAGCAAAAATGTTCTTGTCCCACTTTGTCACCTGGATTTTGTCTCTCACCACTGATACAAGATGTTGCTGATATTTTTCTCAGATGAGATTAGTTAGCATGCTGATCTATATATATACATTACAGTAACTCCGTAACAAGCTGTTTTTAAAGCTCTATCTTCTCAAGCACACACATACACACACAACATTCCTAGTCTACATGCCCTATTTTTATCCAAGCAGGTCAAATAATCAGAACATTGAACTCATGATTCCAGTCACCTAAAGGGGCTTGATGATGAGAATTAAATGGGAACTTCCAATTCTGTTGTTTCCTCAGATTGTTGTTTATGTCATTTTAATAGTCAAAGGTAGAGAAAGCATTTCAGCATTTCCCCCATCTACGAAGCATGAGCTCAGTTTATTCATGACACAGCATCTCAGTTTACACAGCACTGTTTTTTTTTTTTTTAATTGAGTTCCTTGTTACTAATTTAACATCTCTCCAGCTCCTCTGTTTGGACTCCCTCTGTGATTAGCCCCCATGCCTGTCAGAAGTGAGCTAGCATAGTCATACACCCAACGCTCTTTCTGAAATACGGTCCAATATTCCACTGCACCTAAACTGTCTCGTGGAACTGCAGACAGCACAGTTCCCACTGAGCGTATTCCATTTTCTTGGACAGGAAGGAGCGTAAAGACAATCTCCGACTTTTCCTCTGAGTGCTTTTCAAGACTCCTGCAGTTTTCTCTGACCTCTACAATCCCACTTGGTGCCATATAATCAGTTCCAAGCTGAATTATCTTTCAGATAATTGTATAAACTCATCCAATAGTGTTTCATGGTTTGTTCAAGGGAGACAGCATGCTGCCTTATTTTCCTTGTGTCATCTTTTGAATATTTTGTCCATTCTGGGTGACACAGGACTATCCCTTGTAACGCGCCTGATTAATACTGCAAGGAATCAGATGGCATACGAATATTGCAGCAGATGAATTGCTCAACATCTGACATCATGACACTTCTAGCAGGACAAATGTCCTTTCTTTTTCCCCCCTTTTTTTGTTTTTCCGCTCATAAATGGCCAATCCACTTCTTTTGTTTCTTTTCTTTCTTCTTCCCTTGATGCTGTCCTCCCCCATGGTTTCTGTGGAAACAATTTCTGAGTGTAGTCATCCAAGAGGCATTAATTTTCTCAAATACTATGCTTTTGAAATGTGCACTTCTAGACCACAGATCTTATATAAAAGATTGCTGTAGTATATTTCAGGTTCAATAAAGAATCCAGTTATAAAACTTTTTAAAGTCAAATCCAATTTTAGCTGAAGGAAAATGCTACTCTGTATTTCCATTAATGCAGTTGTAAGCATTTTAAAAAACTGTTTACTTCTGAGAGTCATAAAAACTATATAATTTTGTAGGTATTAAGCATATTTTTTCACAGTGAAAGGATGTCTTCATGATACAGGTCTTATGTGGCTACACATTTTTCTTTAGAATAATATATCTCAATCTGGTAGATATTCCCCAAATATTTAGAAAGGTAGGACACAGCCAACTTTAGATTCTTATAATGCAGACATCAACATCTGATATGAACATCCCAATTTCCATTAGAGTCCGTAGACAGAAACAGGGACATGCAGGAGGCAATTTGTCTCATTTGAGAGTTGACACCTTAAGTGTCTTAAGCAATGCAGATGAGAGCCTTGCAGGTCAGCTTCTATTCTGGAGATGCCTGAGGTTGGGGCAGGTTAATCCCAAACCCACTGAACCCAGGGAGCTGGTAACGAGGAAGGTAAGGGGAAGGGAGGAGAAGGGAAGAGAAAGGTGATATACATTCCTCTATGCACCTCCCTTTTCTGTGAGGCATTCCAGAGGAAAGGCTTGGACAAAATAACTGCTAGCTACATGTCAGAAGTTACCTTGGAGTCAGCTTGGCTTTTCCCTAACTAAGGCTGATCAGAGACAAACGTTTTACTCCTATTTTCTTTTAATTTGCCTTTGCATACACGGTGTCCGTTCGCCCTCCCACCCTCTAGGCCACTCTCCCCCTCCTCGACCCTCACCCCGAGGAGGCTCCCGCCGCCTCCCCGACCCCG